CACACTTCTCTCACATTTCTGATCCTTCAGTGATCACATTGGTCATGGTGACTGCAAGATCTCTGTTTCATGTTGACCTCTGTGCATGCCAATCGTGCTGACCAGCAGCAACCACACATTTGTCCCATAACTGAGATGATATGGGATCTTCCAAAGTCATACTTGGTATGTAGAATTATAGTCTATGCTGATCAGTTAATTGATCATGGCCTGCCACTGGGCATGCCTGGATAATCTACTGGTAAATATTTCCATGATAGTTATTGAATGATATAAAAACTAAGCTCATTTCTTTGGTAATTCTTAAAGAGGGATAACTGAGACCTTTTGGAATTTCCCTCTCCATGGGAGCATGTGTGCTGCTGTCACTGCTTAGATTTGTTTAGGTGTCCATGTTGAGACTTCAAGGATATAGCTTTTCCAACATTTTAGGAAATGCAGTCTCACAGCAGATGCATATTCCTATGGCTTCTAAAATCTTTCTGCTACCCCTGCCACAATATTTTCTGAGTTTTACTTGTAAGAATTGCATCGTGGATGTATAACTGGAACCTGCCCGAACATATTTATTCAGTTGTTTACTGCTTTTTGAGTACTCATGATATTTCTGTTTTCTAACTTTTGATTAGCAGTGAGTTTTTTTTTGAATGATCTACTTCTTTTGCATTGAGAATTTTTTCTTTAGTGATTAGAGCTACAAACAATAACAGAATTGCTGTGAATAGGAAAAATAAAACCTAATTGATTATCCAGCATCAAATGGTGAACACCAAAATCATGTACATGTGGGTAATGTTATACAGACTGAGCAGATTTTATATATAAGTACACACATACATACATAATAGCATAGCAACATTGACAACATAGCCATATATGTACATAAATGTAACAACAATTAAAGAAAAGAGGCCAGGTGCAATGAATTTGAGAGGAAGGGTTTGTGTGAGTGCTTGGAATGGTTGGAAGAATAAAGGCACAATGATGCAAGTACATTTTTATTTCAAAAATTAAAGAGATGCAATTTCATCTTCTAAAATAACTTACCATCTATAGCATAAATAAAATTGCAATTATACAAACTACTTCTTCTTAGAATAGTTAAATACTGAATAGAATGTTGAAAAACTTAAAGTGTGATTATAGGTTTACATGGTGATGTTTGGTCCATGTAAGCAGTTGTAACCCTTTCTCCAATGTTTGGCGTTCACAGACATTGGCAGGGCATGAGAGTCCAGGTTTTTCTATAGTCATACTGAAATTTGATATTATTCATATTTTATTACTTTGCTTTATATTGACTTTTATATTGTTTGGATTTTTTATGTTGTACTAGCTTACAAATTAGTAAGTTTCCTAAAGGTGATTGTATCAACCCATCTGTATCCCCCATTTCTCTTCCCTCATCCCAGCTTATACTGTCCCATGTACACAATTTCTTCCTTCACTTTCAAATCACATATATTATTTTACCCTCTTGATCTCACTCTGAGACATTCTTACAGGCCCCTTTCAGGTCTTCTGGATGCTACCCACACTCACTTCTACATAAACATACATTTCTAAGAATTAGAAGCTATGAAGTCTCACTTGGGATAGTGGTATCTATTATTTTGGACTTTTTTGCATTGCTTAATAGAGTAGCTAATATTTCTGTAGCAAAAATTCACTAGGATGTTTGACATGGCAGTGCATGGAAAGAAAAGACTGTATTTTATAGTTACTAAGGTCTCAACTAATTTCCCCACTCTGTTTAAACTTCTTCAGATCCTAGGCTTTAATGCTAGTTCTACCCAAGCTCTTGATTAACCTCTGACAGTTGTTGCAAGCTTCATGAGAGTGAGGGGCAACAGTGATATCCCTGGGGCTACATGGTTCATCCAGGTGATGATTCACAGCTGATACTGTCTGCTTCTGCAGTGGTATCTCACCCTATTTAAACTGGTTTGCAGACACCTTCTCTCATGAGAATAATGTGTGGTGTTCTAAGAGTTTACTCTAAATTCACAACCCTGATGGCCTGTCTAAACCACTGCCTACTTTTCTATCATTTCCAATCTAAATTTTGGAGTGATGACTAATTAATCAAGAAACAATTTCAATAGAGACACTGATATTTTTCCCAGTAGTTGCCATATATTAGCTGTTGTCCTTCTCCTTGCAATTTCTCCTAACATATTTTGCTTAGTTTTGTTCTATTCTGCATTCTGTGAGATTTCACTACACGCAATGTTACCTTCTCTACAACAGTCCTAACTTGGGTGTACTCATGTGTATATGTCTATGAGGTATGATTTTCATAAAAGCTAGAGCATAATTCAATATGATGTAATGTTTCATTTGATCCATCCTCTATCCCATTTTGAGCTTTTAATAAATTTTATTATCTAAGACTATTGTGGGATAAAGACCCAAAGAGCACTGAGCATGACCAAAATCCCTATTTTGAAGTCTGTATTTAGGAACTTTGGTGACTGTCTACAGAAAAACCCTACTCAGAGAACCACCTGGAATGCATTTTATATGGAGCTTGTAAAGGCAAAGAATCCAGAAAATCAACTCCCTGATCTTTAGTGTCAAGGGAAAGGAAAGAAAGGAAACAATTTTACAGAATCTAAAAAATTGTTTTCAGCTGGGGCACTTCAACCCACTTCTCTAGAATGGGGTTAACTAATTTCAAAAGGGACATTTCATAAAGGAGACAGAAAATGAAGGGTCAATTTCAGGTGAAATTAAAGATGGCCCCATCTGAGAAAGAGGGAGGAAACTTTGCCTTATTACAAGACTATAGAGTTTAGTGGTACTGTATGTTTCTCATTAACATCTTTTGATTTTAGTTGAGATATGCATTAAGAATTGCTTTATTAGCCCAGAAGTTGTGGTGCATGCTTTTAATACCAGCCCTCTGGGAGCAGAGGCAGGCAGATCTCTGTGAGTTTGAGGCCAGCCTGGTCTACAAGAGCTGGTTCCAGGATAGGCTCAAAGCTACAGAGAAATCTTGTCTTAAGAAGAACAAAAAGGAATTGCTAAATTAAATAAAACTGACCATGGTACAGTGAGTACAGAGGCAACACAAATTGGACATAGTTTTTTTTCTTTTATTGAGGGAGGTAATAAGGAAGTGGGGGTGGACATGGGAATATGGGGAAGTGAATGTCATCAAGTGCATTATGTGAAACCTCCAAATAATCAATAAAAATATTGTGTGGGTAAAAATGAATTGCTTTATTTAAGTTTTGTGGTTGTTACTGAAGTTGATTTTTTTAACACATGACTAGCAAATGTCAGTAATTTCTGAAAGTCTCACACTGTATTTGTTTGCCTTGCCAATCACATTTCCTTTCTCAAATGGGTTAACATCCCATCATACTAAGGGTTGCATTTTCTATCAAAGTTGACAGCTATGCCCCCATCAACATTTGTGTTCTTAAGTATTGATGAATTGTATAGTAACAAACACGGGAAGTAACTACTCCTGTTAAAATTACTTTCAGATTGCCTTGCAGAGTGCAGTCTACAGCGCCATCTGCTGGAAGAAGGAAGATAAACTAGGATTATTCCAAGGTCCAAGGGTTGGTTGGAAAGAGAGGCTGGTCAGAGGAGTGCAGGGCACATCCGGCTGCTTGAAGTACATACACCATCAGGATGCAGCAGTGAGCTGAGACACCAAGGGCTGCAGGGAGCACCACGGACTACAGGGAGCACCACGCACACTGGCAACTATAATCATATAATATATGATATTAATATATGATTAATATATATGATTAATGTTTAAGTTTTCCACAATGAACAATAAGTTTTTCCTGCAGTGACATTTGAAGTTTCCAGGAAGAAGATGGGGCCCCATAACAACAATTCCACCTGGTTGATATGACATCATGATACTGATAGCGCTACTACAAGACCTGTTTTGGGTACCAGCTACACAAGACGATTCCAACGTGGTTAGCTGAAATGATGCGCCGATAATTGGTGCCCAACGTGGGGATTATCTGCGAATCAATCCCACACCAGTTATGTTTTAAGGGGTTATTTATTTTGGGGGGTAAAACTTACATACATCATAAACCGTCAGGAAGGGAGCCTAGTCGCTGGAGCAGGAGCCGGGAGCGGGAACCAGGAGCAGGAGCCGGGAGCAGGAGCCGGGACCAAGCACCGGAACCAAGAGAGCCTGATCCGGATCTGCTTCTCTTTTTAAAAGAGAAATATACCACGCCCCAGTGGGCTGGTATTTCAACAGCTATTGGCTGACGGAGCAGAAGTCGCTCCCCGCTACACTGTGGGCTCCTGCTTCAGCGACTATTGGTTGAGGCAGCGAAAGTTACTCCCACAACAGACAACCGTCCACTTACTGGAGCAACCAACTGTCAAAGGGAGCTTTAGAGGGCTGGGACGGATTATGACTGCAAGTCAGGCATCAAGGACAGATGGTCATTTGGTGAAGGCAGACAGGGGTGCTAGCGACGGCAAATGAGTGGCAAGCAGAGTTTGGCTTCCTCAAGGGCCACCCAAAGAGCCGCGTGACTCTGAGTTAAAGACATTCCTGCAGTGAATGTCTTCCTCCTCTACCCAGTGGAGAGAGGTGTACGAAGCTCCTCGTTCTCTTCACTCCTTCCATTGATGTGCCATTCTGACACTTCCTTGTGGTTTTTCGGGATGTATCTCATACAGTCATGTGACTGGATGTGCCTGTGAGCCTGCGAAACAATGGCTGCCCCACAGCATGGTGTACCCACGACATGGCTCCCCCACGACATGACTGCCCCACGACTTGACTATCCCATGGCATGGCTGCCCCACATTGGGCGCCAAAAAATGGTGAATCAATCCCACACCAATTATGTTTTAAGGGGGTATTTATTTTGGGGGGTAAAACTTACATACACCATAAACTGTCAGGAAGGGAACCTAGTCGCTGGAGCAGGAGCCAGGAGCAGGAGCTGGAACCAAGCACCGGAACCAAGAGCCTGAGCCGAGCTTGCCGTCCTTCTTTTAAAGAGAAATATACCACGCCCCAGTGGGCTGGTATTTCAGCGGCTATTGGCTGAAGCAGCAGAAGGTACTCCCGCAGCAGTGTGACTAATGGTGTGTTCCTTCACACCCAGCTACAATCATTTGTCTTATTCACTTCACCTGAGAAACACTGACCATATTCTTAAGGAAATAGTGCTGCATCTCAGAATGGACATGTGGAAACTGGTAGTCAGAATCATTTTCTTATCACAAACTACCATTGGAATTATGGGAAATCTCTCTCTTCTGTTCTACTATCTAGTTCTTTCCTACAGAGAATATGCATTAAAGCCAAAAGATTTGATTCTCATGCACCTACTGACAGCAAATACCTTGATCATTCTCTCTGCTGGAGTGCCCCACACAATGACAGTTTGGGGACTGAAGCCATTCTTGAATGATTTTGAATGTTTGCTGCTATTGTTCATTCAAGGATTTGCCCGAAATGTGTCCATGGGTATCACTTGCCTCTTGAGTATCTTCCAAGCCATGACCATCAGTCCCAGGAAATTGTATTTGAAGGATCATAAAGTCAAAGAAACAAAGTTTGTTGGCTGGTCCATTTCTTTACTTTGGGTCTTCTATGTGTTGATACGTTTCATTTTCTTTATGTACACATTTATCAAAACAAACAGCCAAAACATAACAAGAAATCGAGATTTTGGATATTGTTCTACTATAGCGCGAGATGAAATCAGTGACTCACTGTACGCAGCATTGGTGATGTGCCCCGAATTCCTTTCTGCTGTGCTTATCATCTGGTCCAGCACCTCCATGATTGTCATTCTGTACGGACACAAGCAGAGGGTTCAGCACATCCGCAGCTCTCATGGTTCCAGTATCAAATGCCCTGAGTCCAAAGCCACCCAGAATATCTTGGCACTAGTGTGTACGTTTCTGGCATTTTATACTCTCTCCACTATTTTGCGAGGCTGCATTGCTCTTTTGTATAATCACAGTTGGTGGGTGATGTACATCACTCATCTCACTTCTCTTTGTTTTCCCTGTTTTGGACCCTACATTCTTATAAGCCATTACTCAACTGTATTCAGGTTAAGTTTGACGTGGTTAAGAGTTAAAATTTTCTCCTCATTTTATTGTAATTATGTAATATATTAGTTTTTCACATCATCCAAATTTTACTCAATTGTCACCATAAGAAACTAATAAGGAAAGTTAACAAGTTAGCAAATTCTCTTCCTAAGATTAACCAAAATAAGTATGAGACTTTTACCAGGTAGTTGAACCAGCACCCTATATGAACTGACCACACTATGTTAGGGTCTTTGCACTCTTCTACTTTCAGATAGTAGAGTTCTACCTTTGTTCAGATGATGTACAAAGAAGCTACTAAGCAAGCTTCCAACAGAGCTGCCTTTCTTCTCAATTTCATCTTGTCAGGGAATCTTGACTGTTTACATGCTGCTGCACAGACACTGGAAATACTGCAAGGCAAACTGAAAAAATGGTAGGCCATAAATAGTGGTTCTGGTGTTCTTGTCCCATAGTAACTGCTCTAGCCTACACCAGGACTAGAATTCTACTCCAGTGATGATTTCCCAGATAAAACACTTTCAGTTTCCAGAAAATAAACTGTGTGGCTGGTCTTCACTTTGTAGAAACAGTCCTCAACAAAGTCTGTAAAGATGGGCATCTCTTCTAGTCACATAGGACAAAAATTATGACTCCTATATTCTACCTTCTACCGAAATCAATTAAAATTAAAAGATGTTTTGTGGTAATATTGAATTTTGATAGATATCATTTTTCCCTTTATTAAACATATAATTTTCATCTCCTACTACATAATTTGAATTATGTATCCCTCTATCATTACTTCTCCCAGTTCCACTCAGTTGCTCTCCTATTTAAATCTACACCATTTCTGTCTCTCATTAGAAAAGAACAGGCTTCTAAGAGATAACATGACAAAATCAAATATAATAAGATAAAACAAAAACCATCATATTGAACCTGGACTAGATAAACCAGCAGAAAGACAAAGGGGCCTCAAGAGAAAGCTCAAGAATCAGAGATTCATGTGCTTCTACACTCAAGAGTAACACAAAAGTAATGAACTAGAAGTTATCATGAGGCAGAGGACATTGAGCAGACCGTATAGTCCCTATGATTGCTGCTTCAGTCTCTATAGCTTTGCTCAGTTGACAGATTCTTGTCCTCCTATGTCCTCTGTTCCCTAAGTCTCTCCCACTCCTCCATTCTTTTCTTTTTTCTTTTTTTAAAACAAAACAAAGTCGATTTGTTTTATTTACAACATTCAGTGCATCTTACACATGACATATTTTCATTCCCCAAATCTTTTGAAAGCAATTCCAATTCTGTTTGTGCAATGAGTTTACAGGAAAACCTTAAGATAGCCTTTAGACACTTTAGAACATAAATGCTAAATTTTGATATTTCATATTATATTAATAGAGGACTGTTTTCAATTAATGAAAACTAAACTCTGCCATTAATTAATACCCTCTGGGATCTTTAACTCAAATACAAACTGGATCAGCCTATGAAATAATACCATTAGATTTAGATAAATTATTCTGACTTACCCTCCCCAATAAAATACATGCACAAATTAAACATGGTAAATTACATTAATTAAATTTTATTTCAATACTTTCTTTTTGGACTCTTTCAACTGTTTCTCAATTTAGGCTACAGATGGGGAGAATATAGTTGGAGAACTCTGATATAGACACACCCATGGCAGGGAGGCAGGTGGCTTCAGGGGCCCTCACCCCAGCCAGCACAAAACAACAGGTCCTCTTTATCGCCACCCCCTTAATCACCGTTTCAGTGTTTTCTGGGTTGATGACAGAAACCTGTTCTTCTGTTCAGTGACAAGAAATCACTGTCCTGCTACATAAAAATCAATAAAGAGGCAATGAGCAATGAACACTTGAATTTTGAAAAACAAAACTAATAGCCTAGCTCATAAGTCAGAGAGAAGGAAGGCACGGAGGCCATCTCCATGCTGACCCACCCAGGGCACCACTGTGCTTGGTCTACTCCCATGACACATTGATCCTCGCAAAGATGGTATTGTTGGTACCTGGTGTAGGTGCCACCTCCTACAGTAAGTGATTGAATTGGGAGAAATAAAGTTTCATGTTTGACCTAGCCCAAAGAATTAAAAGAAAAAGGAACAGTGAGGTAGAGCTGAGAGAGTTCAACTAAACTTTTGAGCACTGACCTTTTTTTTTTTTGAGAGCACTGCACTCTCAAAGGGCAGACTCCCCATCCAAGTCCCCCTGGGACACAATGTGGCAGCCCCCTTGAGGGAACGTGAAGTTCACAGAGACACTTGAAGGCTCCAGTCCTGGCGTATCAGCTATTATTTACCCCAATAGTGAAGCAAATAAAAGCAATGCTATCCATTTCTGAATTTATTTAAACAAGTCAATTAATTTAAAAATCTCATTCAAGCAAAACTTCTGATTACATGTAAACACACTGCCATGTTCCTGAAACAGATGCTAACACCTGAAAAAAAAAGCTGTTAATTGCTTGTGAAGAAGGCTGTCCATTAATAAGGCCAGTCTTCAGCAGAACTAAACCATTTTCCATCTGGTAGCTTTCCCAGCTGGAAATACCATTAAACTACAGTCAAATATAAAGACAATTTTGATGGATAGATCAGTACCATTGGTTATAGCTTTTAATCAGGTTCATTCCCTGTGCCACATGAAAATAAGCCACTCACATCAATAAACGATGGCTGTAGTGAGCTGCTTTGTGCCACACCTTAAAGATGGCGCTGACCGCTGCTCTCCACCCCC